CAGTATTTCAAGAAATTCTGCCTTCTCTTCATCTGGGGAGATCCATGGCAGGGCACCAAGGAGTTGCTCACGGCCATTTCTTCTTTCTGCCTTTTATTGCCAAAACGCATGGTGTGGCAAATGCAGAAGGGGAGACAAGGAAGAAGAGGGGGGACCTGCCCTGAGAAGAGACAGAAGTCATTGTGTCCCCAGGCAGCAGGGTTTCCACCCTACACTCCAGGGGCCCCACAAGACCCTAAATATACATGACTGCGGATATACGGGGCTTAGCAGGATGGATCCAGGTGGGGGACATTTCTCTGACTTCAAGTGTCGTATCAGAGCAGGAAGGGAGGTATGGAATGTATGGGGTGGGGCCTGGCGGGGGCCATCCATCACCCACCCATCGGGAGACACATGGTGCACAGGCACCGGGCCAGAGTGGTGGCTGTGGGAGGGGACAAGGGACACCTCTATGGACAGATGAGTAGCAGCCCAAGGGCCTCCCCACCCCTGCCATCAACACCCACAGATAGCCTGGGAAGACCTGTGCTCTTGGATCTTGGACCCTACTCAGGGACATGGGAGACAATGCTACCTAAGACTGAGGCCTGGAAAGTGAAACAAAGCCTTGTGCTGGTGCCCACAGGTTCACTTGGGGCTCTTCTGTTCTCTGTGTCTTGAGGGGCTGGGCCCTGCAGGCCATCTCCCTCGCACCTGGACTTGGCTAACAGAAGGCACTGGCAGGAGAGCAGAAGGCGGTACTAACCTCTGGGTTGCCTCACCAACTCCTGGTCAGCTCTGATCTTCCGTGATCTGTGTTACCCAGTCCCGGCATCCCCACCTCTCTGTGTGGTGGTATTTCATGTGGTCTCTGTTTTCCTGGTTAGGCCCTGCCTGAACCAAGTTGGTTTATACTCAAGGTGGGGTGCAATTTTGGACACTTCTTATTGTCACATTTCTTTATGCCATAGTGAAATTCACCTACCCTGTTCTCCCACGCTGTTTGCTACGTGTCCCTATTGACGTCTGTGTATCACCCCTCCCAGTCAGATGACATGTTAAGGCGATTTTTCCAGAAAGGACACAGAGAGGTAACCTGCACAGCAGGTGTTTGAGATGGAGCTGGAGCGTCTGAGCTTCGGATCCCAGGGCCTGCTCCACATTTGGGCCTAATCCTTTGTAAGTGGGCCAGGCTTTACAGAGTGAATAGATCCTCACAGAACACAAAAATGCCCAAGGAAGAGCTTCGGCATCACTCTCACCCTGCCTTCCTTCTGCAGCCTCCCACGCCCCTTCTCATTAAGACAAAACTCAGTCTGGTCTTTAGCTGACACACGACATGTCTCCAATGGGGCCACACATGAAGGAACACCAGGCATCCCTGTATGGGGAACAGGTGGATTAGGGGTTCTTTGCGACAGTCTAGAAGTGACCACTCAAGAAGTGACTGGGTGAAGGGCGAGGACTAGGATATGAGCAGGGAGCACCACCAGGGAGGGAGGCAATTTGGAGACAAAAAAAACTTCTGAAGAGGCGTTGGGCCTAATAAACTGAAAGGCAAATGGGAACTTTACTGCTTTTGGCCAAAGAACACTGGCAGAGTTTCGGGGCAAAGGGCAAGTACAAGGCATTCTTCTGAAAAGCTTATAAGATTTCAGATAGGCAAAAATGAAATTAAGTTTCTGAAAATAAAATAGACAAGGCTTTGGAGGTGGTTTTTATGAGAAGGACACCATCAGAACAATCCACTCCTGTGTCAAGGAGATCACAGCCTGAACTAGCTCCCAGTGTGTTCTCCTAAGCTACTCACTCAGGCAAAGAAGAGGTCCATCCAACACCCACTGTGCTTGCGAAGGTCTGCTATACAGCTGTGTTGCAAGAAAGTTAATTGACATTTCCTAGAATTGTTGGAGAACAATGAAAGTACTGTCAGCTTGGGAGCCCCAAAAGTCACGTGATGAAGAAGGGCTGTTGATAAGAGGGTACTTCGAAAAGTCTGTGGGGGGCAGCCATTGTGGGACACTTTGGCCATCGCTTGGGACAACTGCATCCCATATGGGATTACCAGTTGGGGTCCTGGCCACTCTGCTTCCAATCCAGCTTCCTACTAATGCACCTGGGAAGGCAACAATGATGGACCAAGTACTTGGGACTCCGTCATCCACTTGGGAGACCTGGATGGAGTTCCATGTTCCTGCTTCAGCCTGGCCTAGCATGAGTTATTGTGACCATTTAGGGATTGAACCAACAGATAGAAAATCTCTCTCTCTCTCTCTCTCTCTCTCTCTCTCTTTCCCTTTGTCATTCTGCTTTCCAAGTAAACATCTTAAAACAAAGTTTGGGGAAAAAATGAAATTAAAAGATGTTTAGTTTGGTGTAAAAAAATTCCATAAACTTTTAGAGGTCCCACATTCACATTTATTTCAGATTTTTCTAGCGCCAAAAGAAACTTAATCTTTTAATTCTATTTTCTGCAAATGTTTTGAAATGCCTTCCTATTTATTTGTCTTTATATTTAAAGGGACAGATGATGATTCTGAAGTAAGTTTAATTCAAGACTTGTTTAAATTGTATTTATCCACACCAAATTTTTGTGTTTTATGTTCGGATAAAACGCTTTTTAAAAACAAAACAAAGCACAACTCGCTGGCTTTGGACCCGTACCATTTCCAACATCTATAAAACAATCCTGGGGTACTACACCCAGCTCAGCCGCCTACTGGGTACATGACCTCGCTGATGGTATTGAAACTTTCTGCATCTTTAAAATGCGGTGCCTAAGTTACTTCCTCTTGGAATTGTTGAGAGGCGAAATTATCAGCTGTGCATAAACAGAGTTAAATTAATGTCAGCCACTATCTTCTCGCTAAGCAGAAGAACCCATTTGGCAGAGTGCATGCACGTGAAGTGAGAAAAGCTAACCTTGTCAAGGGACATCATTTCTTACCAGGATGGAAAAGATCAAGTCTCTGCTGATCGAAAAATACTGAATCCAATCAGGACCCGCATGTGAAGCCTGCTCCCGCCCGCTACCCCGCACACATTCTCCGGACATTCGGTCGCTCTCTAAGCCTGACCCTGCACATTGTAATTTCTCCACTTCTCGGCGCAGAGCGCCCTTTCAGCAGAGACTTAACCAATCGCAAACCTCAGCACACCGTCACCGGGGACGCTGGAGCGCTCCCAGGCCTGCGAGTTCTCTGGTGGGGGCGCAGGGTTCGGCCTGGGGCGAGGGTGCCGCGCCGCCCCCTGCCCACCGTACTCGGCGATCGCACCCCCCCACCCCCGTTTCTCCAGCGCCTTCCTCGCGCCCGCCCTTCCCCCGGGTGTCGGAGCGCGAAGCGGGAGGCGGGCTCAGAGCTGACGGGCTGCGGCTCTGCAGCCAGAGGGAGGAGGCGGGAAGGCGGGCGGAGGAGGAGGAGGAGGAGGAGGTGGAGGAGGTGGAGGAGGAGGCGGGGACTACGCGGGGCGGTAGCTGGCGCCGAGCGCGGTGGGAGCCGACAGGGTACCCGGCTGGCTCGGCTGGCGGCCTCCGCCCGGATCTCGGCGCTGCAGCCCTGCGCCTCTCCCGCCCTCGTCTCCCGGCCCGCGGCCCCGGGCTCGGCGGAGGCGGCGGAGCTCTGGGCCACTGGTAGGTTGCACGGGCACGGCGTTTCCGCCTGCAACCTTTTGTGCCGCAGAAAAGGTGGTAGGGATGGCTGGGCGGGGGGGGGAGAGGGGTAGGGTGGGGAGGGGGCTGCCCCCTGCCTCCGATCCCCGGTGCCAGCCCCAGTCACGGCGCCGCCCCTTCCTCCCTGCCTCGTGTCCAGGCCAGGCGCGCAGTGCCGGAGATCCCCGGGATGGGTGGCTGCGGGGCGGCTGCAGCGTCCCCCACGGCCTCGGCGGGCCGGTGCCCGGGCACCCGAGCGGGAAGCTGAGGACTGGTGAGCTGGGTGGGGCCCGCGCGGGGTGCGGGGAGCCCGCGGCTCCTGGCACAGGGGTGGGGCCCGAGACGCCGTGAGTGTGCAGAGCGCGTGTGAGTGAGTGTGCGGGGGTGTGCGCCCCCGTGTGCGCGCGGCGTGCGCTCGCCCGGGAGGTGCGGGCTCGGCGACCCGGAGCGCCTGTGCCGCTGTGCAGCGCCGCGGGCTCCCTCAGCTGCAGTGCCCGCACCGCGGGGCGGCGGGCCTGGCACCCCTCGGGGGACTGGGCTGCTTCCCCGGCCTGCTGCGCCCCTGGCTGCGTGCCCGGCCGCGCGCAGGGTGCGACTGCCCCAGCCAGATAGCGTCTCGGGGCGAGCCCGCGGGGCCTTATCTCGGCGGCCGTCCTCGCCCGCGCTGCCACCTGGGGGCGAGGCCGCCCGCGTCGGCCGGGCCGCGGCCGGGGCCGCGTGCGGTGCGGGGCCCGGCTGCTGGCCGGAATGGAAAGCAGCAGATGTCGTGGGGGGCATCCCCGCCCTCGCCCCACCTGTCGCGGCTGGACTTCGGGGCGGGTGGGAAGCGGAGGGAAGGGGTTTCCGGGCGGGCGGCGGGCGGACCTTGGGCAGCGCGGCCCCATTGTGAAGCTGCCAAACTCTCTCTAGTGGTGGAATCTGCGAATCTGCCAGGAAGGCGGTGGGGACGCGCAGGCGGGCGGTGATGGCCCCGTCCTTTTCCCCTTGCAAGTGTTCCACGTCCGTAGGGGACTCCCTGCTTCCCCACCCACGCCAGTCTGCACACGGGTGGGCTGGGATTTTGTGTGGAGCGAAGATTCGGGTGCGTGCGTGCGGGCGGCGTGGTGCGCAGGTAACAGTGGCGCCAGGAACTTTGTAATAATCAGGGAGACTGGAACAGGAGCGTCTTACCAAGGGCTTGCCTCCCAGCATACCCTCCCAGACGTTTTATTTTACGTGGTTTTTCTCGAAGAGCCGCCTTACAACCAAGGGTTGTATTTGCTTTGTCTTCTAACCCTGTGGAACTGGATGCACGCTTGCCTCGGAGATAGTAATGACCCCGCGCCAAAGTTTTGTTTTCCCAGACATTTCAAAATACGGTACTGGTTATTATTGCAGAATCTGTTACTACTGTGTTCGTTCAGAGCTACGATTGATGCTTAAACTTTTATATTTAATCACAGATTTCTCAATATCCTTTATTATGTAACTGTGTGGGTTAGAAACAAAATGGACAGGATGAAATGTAAGAGGTGATCAGCTTAGGGTCCTCTTAATTTGATAAGAACTGATGTAGGGAGTATGCTTTTGCCAATATTGTAGCTTATTTAATTACAAATGAGACTTTGTAGTAGTTACTGTTCTGGAATATAAGATACTTAGTGACCTTAGAAAACAGTCAAATAATTTGCTTATTTTTATCTGTATTTCAGAGAGCTATTTTAATATTCACTCAGAATTCTTAGTACACTAGGAATAATAGAACTTGACATACATGATTTAAAATTTCTTTGCTAATTTGTAGTTGGAAGGGGGAGTGGGACAGGGGTGTCGCTCATTTCTCCCAAAGAGAACTTTAATTTTGTCACCAGGCTATGAAAACGAAAATCTGGTTTTAAGTTTTTGCTTGGAGGGCTAGCCAGTCCCACCTGGTACACCTGCCCTGCTTTGACCATGCTTCCTAAGAGGCAGATTTCTTGTGAAGACTGTGTGTAGACAGTTACCGTCAATCCCATCTGCAGTGACACTGAGTATTTTTCTAAAAGTAGAAGGATGACTTCACCCGAAGCTATTAGTAACCCGGGTTTAATTTTTACTAGCAGAAATGGAAAGGAAATGAATGCTGCGATTTTTAAGGGGGTTGCTATTCAAAGAACTAATACTAGAAACACATTTTTGTCTTACTGAACCAATTATGGCGATGTCTTCCCACGTTGGTGAGGTTAATGATCTGTTTGTGAGGTCAAGGATGGTTTTAGAAAAGTCACTCCCTACTTAGCAGTGGCTTGAAACCTTTGATAATTTTGTTTTTTACAAGTGACAAATAATAAAGTAAGATTATTTAACAGGAACCTTGCAGGTGAGGGTGTAAGTACAGCTAAGCATTTTTGCACTGTGAGTTGTGCTTGGACAGGTAAATCATTCCATTTCTGCTCAGTGTTCTGTTATTTGAGAACTGTTTTGATCCATTTCTCTTACACTTGTTTTCAGAGTAGAGAGTAAGGCTGGTGATTGCAAAATACTTTCACTGGTATGAATGGAATTTTTTCCAAGTGCTTTTCCATCATTGGTCCATTCTTAGTCACTTTGAGAAATGCTACCTGTTTCTTTTTCTTTCATGTTTTAGAAGCTAGAATTCGAACTTGTTCTTGTAGTCTACTGATTTCTTTGCCTAAAATTTATCGTGCTTTCCAGAAGAGCATCTTTAATGATCAGTAGGATTTATTTACCAAAATTCAGAAGGGCGTGCCGGCCTTTTGTATTTATAACAGTAGGAGTTGTAAGGGATGTTAAATTTTTACTTGGGATTTTGTTAGTGGATCTGTGCTGAAGCCTGAGATTTATAGCTTTTTGGGGGAGAGAGGTTTTGTGTGGAACTGAACATGTCCATGTGGATCTTTTTTATCTTTTGGGGCAAACCCTCCCTTTTCCGGGTTCCTGGTGCCACTCAAATTTACTGTTGTATGTATTAGATTTACGTATTTCCGTGGCTCTGTCTTGCGCCTGGTCTCAGACTGTATTCTTTACTCTTTATATTTGCCCCAAGAAATATTGTTGAACTTCTCAGTGGGGACATGAATAACTGAGTGGTTGAATGATTCACTCACAGACAAATTCCTCACATCTGTGTGCAAAGCCACTATGCAGACCAAAGGGTGTTTCTTTTTAAAAAGTCGATTGCCTTTATACTTTTGAGTAGATAACATAATGGCCACACAATATATTTGTGACCCTTTGGAGAGATGGCTGTAAGTAAATATGGGGAATGGACCTGGACCAGACATGGTGACCCCACAGCTGAAGGATGTTCTTCTGGGCCTATGATAGTATCTGTCACCTTGCCTGAGAAATTTGACACACTTGCTAGCTGGGGTTTGCAAACTTTGCTATCTGCGGAAGCTTCATTTGTAGCTGATTGCTGAGTGTTTTTTGGCTCAGGCACCCCTCACTTCCCTGTCCAGAGGTCTGTGGGGAGCTCTTGGTTGTGCTTAATTTGTCCTGTTTTCACAGGACTTTCTGTGACATCCCAGGACTTGCTGTTCGTGGCGGCTTCTCATAGCTGGAAGTGTTATGTTCTATCACATTTGCTCTGTCGTCTTCAGTCTGTGTTTCTAGGTAACAGGTGTATAGCTTCTGAACCTTTCATGTGGCTCCTCCCCTACTTGGTGACTGTTGGCAGAGGAGAGCCTTTGCTGCCCTTCTAAGCCTTCATGTTCAAAACAAATCACAAGGCTATAGATTTTTACAGTTGTATGCAAGTGTGTATAGTTATTTGAAAAGTATAGTTTTTGGGGACTTTTATATTAAAATAGTTTTGTTGATACAAGGATAAAACTCTTACAGTAATTTTGTAATTCATTCTTTCATAGGTAATTCTTTTTTTTTTTTTTTAACATTTTATTTACTTGAAGGACAGAGAGATAGACAGACAAGTCTCCCATGTGCTGGTTCACTCCTCAGACGCTTACAGCAGACAGGGCTGGGCCAGGCCAAAGCAGGGAGCCAGGAGCCAGGAACTTAATCTAGGTCTGCATGTGGGTGGCAGGGACTGGCCACTTGAGCCGTCCATCACTTGCTGACTCCCCTAGTGTGTATTAGCAGGAATCTTGAAGTGGACCCAGGACTCTGGGACACAAACCCGTGTACTCCTGTATAGATGTATGGATACAGGTGTCACAAATGGCATTTTTTAAAAGATTTATTTATTATTTGAAAGGCAGAGTTACAGAGAGAGAGAGAGAGAGAGACATCTATCTGCTGGACCACTCCCCAGATGCCCACAATGGCTAGGACTGGGCCAGGTCAAAGCCAGGTCAAAGCCAGGACCCTGGAACTCCAGCCAGGTCTCCCACCTGTGTGTCAGGGCCCCAAGGACTTGTGCCTTCTTCTGCTGCTTTCCCAGGAGGATTAACAGGCCCAGAAGTGGAGCAGCCAGGACTTGAAGCAGCACTCATGTGGGATGCCAGTGTTGCAGGAGGCGGGTTAACCACCTGTTGTACCACAGCACTGACCCCCAATGGCATCCCAACCACTACACTAAACACCTGCCCCGGAGCTAATTCTTAAGGAAGGTATATTTTGTACCAGTTTCTTGCCTTGTTCTTTTAATTTTATCTTTTCCCCCATCTTTTATCATCCTCCCTTTCTTAGCACACATACAGGGATAGCACTCGCCTACACACCAAACTGTAAGTCATGTCAGGAATGCGTGGAAAAGAGGAGGAAGGGAGCTCTGGCCCTCGGGTTTCCCTGGTGTTGCTCCCTTGGCCTGTGTGGCTGCGTTCTATTTTTGGCATGGCACTGACATACAGGGATAATCAGTTACTACACTTTGTTTACTATGCAATTACCAACCATTTCCTAGACTTCCATATCACAGGCCCAGGCTGGGTGATTTCATTAAGGTTCCCAGCGTTTCAGATCCAGATGAGGTTTTCAGTTGATTTCTTTCCTTGGGCGTTGAAAAAATGAAAGTATAAATATTTTTCCAATGCATTTAAAAACTTACGAATTATTTCTCACCAAAATGCACAAGACATGTTATATGAAAGCTGGAATGAGATGTAAGCCTTTTTAAAACCAATACTTAAGACATGCAAAGTTTCTTCTATCCGATTTTCAGTGTACATTTCTAAAAATATAAAGTAAAATCTGCTTCACTTTGTGGTAGATGTAGCCCTGGAAAATAACGTGATATACATAGCTGCATTGGGCACTGAAGTGTATAACCGGCAAGAATTGGTTGATACACTTTTTTTTCCTGCATTATAATTTATGATTTCTTTTAAAAAGAAAACTAAGCTCTTAAGAGGACAAGTTGATGATATAAAAGGATTTTGTACTGGGTACCTTAAAATCAAGCTGGAAATAATGTAAAGAGAGCAGATTTCACCCATTCTACAGTCACAGTTCTGAGAAGACAACCACACTTTTCTCAGTCTCCCCCCCCCTTCTCTTCATCAGTTTTTGCAAAGACGTATTTTTAATCCACTCTGTCTTCACAGGTTTAATTTATCACTAACCATAATATTCAACAAGTAACAAGTAGGAAGACCACAGCTAGTAAACACGTCTTCCCCCCAAGCATTCCATAAATGAGCTGTAAAACTTTTAAAGTGCCTCCCTGAACCTTTAAAGTGGGGTTTGATTTGTAGAAATTGATGTCCATTTTCCAGGAACATGATCGTTGTGTGAGAGGCTGTCCACAGAGGTTCACCACTGAGCAGAGGCCACACAAGTATAAAACCAGGTGAGTGGGGCAGGTTCAGCCCCACTCGACATCCCTTGTTGGAGTACTGGTGACTCGCTAATCTAGCTCTTTGCTAATGTGCCCCTGGGAAGGCAGCAGGCGCTGGCTCAAGTACTTGGGTTCCTGTTGTCTATGTGGGAGACCAGATGGCGTTTCAGGCTCCTGGCTTTGGCCTGTACCAGCCTTGGCTGTTGTGGCCATTTAGGGAGTGAACCAACAGGTGGAAGATGACTGTCTCTCGCCCTGCTCCCGCTCACTCTGTCTCTGTCACTCTGCCTATCAAGTAAGTAAATAAATAAATAAATCTTAAAAAAAACAACAAGAGGACAAATGAGTGGTCTTGGGAGTCATACCAGTTGGGTCTCTGATTCCAGCACTGGGTCAACTAAGTATTATTCAATTGAATACTTTAAAAGAGGGAGGATTATATTCTCCTTGTGGAGTAGTTAAGATTAAGTGAAATAAACTGTGCATAGCTTTTAGCATAGAAAAGATGCTTAAAAACATTAGTTTTTGAAATTCCCTTCCATTAAAAATCCATTAACTGAAGAAATCAGTATGAACTTTATAACAGCGGTATTGAGGAAATTCTTCCTGGTAGCCAAATTAAAAAAAAATTATGATTAGGTTTACAGTTTACTTTATGTGAAAACCAGAGGCTTTATTGGTGTGCTCGAGCCAAGTCTTAATTATCCAGGTTTCTTGCTTACCCAATTTGGAAATACAGCGTCAGTGGCAAAGACAGTGACAGAGAGCGTCTGGTATCCACATAAGTAGTAAAAACTATTAAAGAAATTCCAAGGCAGATGCAAATGCTGATTTTTAGGAAAGACAGCTCTTACTGCGTTAGTTCCTTCCAGTGTCTGCAGCTGAGGAAGCCAGTACCTTTCGCAGGGTAATGATCTGTTGCCTTTGGATCCAGCTGTTGTATACTGGCAGAAAGGGCGGCGAAGTGATCGACTCCTTGCTGGTCCCTTGCTGTTTGTCTCTGCTTGGGAGCGCCATGTTCAGTGCTGTTGCCACCTCTCAGCCTCTGGGCACCTGTGTGGCTAAATCAAATCCCCTGGGGTTCCACTGAGTCCCTCCCTTCTGAGCTGAACACAACATCAGAACACCAGCAGCCGAAGAGATCCTTACAGGTGCAAAGGACTGTGGGGAATTTTTTTGGTCTGGGCAGAGGCACTCAGTGAACCGGGGAGGCAGAGAGAAAGCGAGACTGGTACATAGAAACTCCCCAGGTCAGAGGGAGGCCACACAGGGCATGCTGGAAACCCTGGGCAGGGTTATTGTCATGAAGGAGCGAAGAGGTGTTTTTGTGAGTCATTCTCTTTTTTTAAATTTCAATTTTTAAAAATTTTTATTCATTGGAAAGATGAGAGAACAAGTGAGCTCCTCTTCGCTGGTTCACTCCCCAAATGCCTAAACCAGGAACCAAGGACTCAATCCAGGCCTCCCATGTGGGTAGCAGGGACTCAGCCATATAAGCTTTCACCTGCTGCCTCCCATGTTGGCAGGAAGCTAGGACTGGGATATGGGAACCCAAGTGGCCTCTTAGCCACAGCACTACACGTACACACCCAATTCTCTCTTTCTTTTTTATAGTGTTTTTTCGCTCGCTTTAAAAAAAAAGCAAAAACATTTATTTATTTGAAATGCAGAGTTGCAGGAACAGAGAGAGAAATCTTCCATCCTCTGGTTCACTCCCTAAAGGGACACAGTGGCCTGAGCTGGGCCAATCGGAAGTCAGGAGCCAGGAGCTTCCTCCAGGTCCCCCACACAGTTGCAGGGCCCCAAGCACTGGGGCCATCCTCCACTGCTATCCCAGGTGCATTAGCAGGGAGCTGGATCGGAGGGGGAGCAGCTGGGACTAGAACAGCATTCCCTGTCCCTAAGTCACAGCCCAGGCTGTCTGCAGTGTTTTCTAAGAGTCTTCCAATCACTGGCCTAGGGCAGTCTTCAGGAAGGATTTCTCTTGTTGCTATGCTGTGCTAACAATGAATGGTCTCCAAAGATTAGTCGTAACCTTCCCCACTGGTAAAGGACTCTGTGACATGCAGAGCACAATTCCTACCTTGTCTTACTGGCTCCACATAACAGCTGTATCAGGGTGGAGAGAACCCCCGTCTTCCTTGTAAAGACTGCTGTGCTTGCAAGGTCAAGAGGCAGAGTGCCAGAGATGGAACCCTTCCCTTGACCCCGGGCTCTGCGCTGTTTCCTGCCAAGAGAGTACTGTGACACTGTGGAACGCATGGGTAGGACTGGGATGATGAAACCACCACTTTAGCCCAGTGAACTACTCTTAGTGTCTACGTAGAATGTAAGCAGCAGAATACAGCAAAACAAGTGCATCCAATGTGTGAAGGTTGATTTGGCTGAGCAAGTTCAAAATCACTTTAACTGAACTAATTCGGGTAGCTGATAGGTGGTGGGAGTACCTCCTGCTGGCTTCATCCTGTTTTGCAGTTACAGTTGATATAATTGCTTAATAAGTTGTGTTGCTTGTCAAATTAAAGGTGTATTTTTGTATTTCATGTTTAGTATCTGGAGTAGAGCAGAAAAATTATTATGCCTGCATTCCCTGGGGACTCTTTGGAAATTGTACAGTGACGTCTTCGGGGATTTAGTCTGGTGAGTTGTGTTTTGCTTTTTCTGTTTGTTATTCAGATCTGGGAGCATATTACCATGATGTGTTTTAAGGCTGACGTAAATGGGTGAATGTGGACTGTCATTGGATTGTTGCTCACATACAGACTGCAATTACAAAAGTTTTAGCGGTGGGTTGCAATTTGCTAACATTTTACTTGAGATGTTTAATTCTTTGAGAAGTTTTTTTTTTTTTTTTTTAATTCCTGCCATATTCAGGTGATTTTATTGAAGAGTATTTGAGAATATCTAGTAGTTAGAGGCCGTTGCTGTTATTTGGGGAAACATTAAAAGTTAGTAAAATAGTTTCTAAACATTTCTGTTTTCTGGTGTGACACATAATGAGTAGCTAACAGGTGGTTGAAGGGAAGCATCCTCTTCACTTCGTTGTGTAGCTGTTTTCACTGGAAGCGTGGCATTTGCTTTATCACACCGTGAATTTAAACTGTTAACAATATGCAATGTTGTTGTCTTCCTATAGTTGTGTATTCTCAGAGTGTCAGCTGTGTGTCTGTGCTGATACTTGTTCCAAGTCTTTGAAGGGGGAAACAATGTTAGTAGTGATGTGTTACAGCTCTTCAGGACTTTCAAAACCCTATTATTAGGGCGAGTCTGTGCTTTGGGACGTCTTTGTAGTTGATATCTTGGTAGGTCTTTGCTATGAATTACCCAGAGAGGCCATAGGCTTTGGAAGAAGCAGATTTTTATGATAAGGGATTTTCAAATTAGCAGTCAGCCTTTGAGTAGTGATTCAAAGGAGGGAAAAACATATTAGTTTCATTAAGGAGATGCAGCCTGTCAAATTTATGCAAATGCCATTTAAAAGATTATCAAAGTGGAAGCATTACTAGAATTTCCAGTTTGAGGAAAAGAGCAAGAAGGTTGAAAACTGTAAGCACAAAGTTCTTTCTGATAAGGATATTGAATAAGTAACAGTCAGGCTAGGTTGCTAACTCACCCACTTGAAATAAGGCACGGAAGTAGGAGTATGGGGAGAAACTGCCTTTATATGTGTGTCTGTGTCCACTTATCCAGCTCTGTGCATCTGTGTGTACACAGGCACACATTGAGTTATAAGCAGATAAGCAACATGCTGGCAGGCCTTTAAGCGCTGAAATGAGTTACTTAAGAGGGAGTGAGTTAACTGACATTGGAGGTGATCAAACATACGCTGTATGGCCAGTAAGATGCCTTCTGACTCTGAAATTACACAGTTTCAAAAGTTTGTCCCCATTGAGGAACACCGTGGTTTAGTGTTTGGTGATGCTGAATGAAGCTGTTACAATCGGTCATGGGCAGGTCTTTGTGTGGACACAGGAAGACTCTTCACAAAGTGATGGAAAAAGTGCATTATCAGAAACTATAGGTGGATTTCAGAATTTTCTGTGACAAAATTAACTTTGTCTTTCAATTCTATTCTTCATAAATTTAAAAAATTTCCCTCTTATATATTTTATTTTTGTGGGTAAGTGCCTAGGAGTGGCATGTCTGCATAGTTTAATAAGCATTTATTCAACTTTATATTATATATGTATATTTAAACATTTATCTATTTATTTTGAAAATCAGTTCCAGGGAGAGAGAGAAAGAGAGAGAGAGAGATCTTCCATTTGCTGGTTCACTCCCCAGATGGCCACAACAGCCAGCACTTGGCCAAGCCAAAGCCAGGAACCAAGAGCTTCATCTAGGTCTCCCACGCAGGTGCAGGGGCCCAAGCGGTTTGGCCATCTTCTACTGCTTTCCCAGGCCATTAGCAGGGAGCTGGATAGTGGAGCAGCCCAGACATGAACCGGTACCCATATGGGATGCCGGTGCTGCAGGCAGTGGCTTTCCTTGCTATTCCATAGTGCTGGCCCCAACATTTTTTCAACTTTAGAAGCAGTTGCCAAAGTGGGTGTACCTGACAGACACTCACAAGTAGCTAGAATAACCACGCCAAAGTGTGTGTGCAGATGAGAGAGGCTTGACTGCCAGTGAGCACAGACTGACTTTAATTTCGTATCCAGTTTTTACCAGTTTGGTTAGCAGAGAATTTCAGGCCACAGTGATTTTGAAACAGCACATTGGCAGTTCTTCGAGATAGGCTGTTAGCACTTGTAAGGAAGCAAAACTTATGTCCACCCACCAGGCAGGAACTTTGAGGAGTGAATTCTGTCGGAGATCTCTCTGACACGCTCCGGATCCTGGATGCAAGTTAGAATCACCTGGGATCTTTTAAAATGAATTTCAGAGCTCAGGCTGAACTCCAGATCAGTTAAATCACAAATCTGGGGGGTGGGGGGAGGATGACATAGACATCGGTGTTTCTAGAAGCTTCTTGGATGCACTCAATGTCTGGACAGCTTTGGGAGCTCCTTACTGGAGTCCTGGAGTGCAGGACAGGAGCTGGGAGACCTGGGCTGTAGCTATGGCCAATGGCTGCCTGCAAGGCGCTACACAGGCCTCTGCCTTCATGGCCTCGTGTTTTCAGTGTCTTCTATCACTGGAGGTGGAGGTTCCAGGTAGGTGACCTCTAAGGTGGTTCCGACATTAAAACTAGATGATTCTGGGGACAGGATCTGTGGCGCACAGTGGGGTGCCCACATCCCATATTGGTGTCCTGGTTTGAGTCTTGGCTACACTACTTATGTTCTAGCATCTGCTAGTGCTCCTGGGAGGCAGCAGGTGATGGCGCAAGTGCTTGGGCCCTTGCCAGTCACTTGGGAGACCAAGAGGGAGTTCTGGGCCCCCTGCTTTGATGTGGCCCAGTCCTGGCCATTGTGGGCGTTTGGGGAGTGGACCAGGGGATAGAAGATGGATCGATCTCTTTCTCTCTCTCTCTCTCTCCCCCTGCCCCACTCACTAACCCCCTCTTCCTTACTCTTTATATCTCTCTGTTGCTCTTTCAGGTAGATGAAAACAAAAAATAAACAACCATTTTTTTAAAGGAGGTGATTCTAGATATCACTACTTCTAGGAGTCCCCAATTTTGTTCAGAATGGTTCATTTCAGGTACCTCTTGCAAAGAAGTCTGTTAACACGATTACATTTTATGTACTGGTATTTAAGGTCATTCTGTTTGTATCAGTTTTCTCCTATATAATATTGCCATAAGTTGTTAAAAACAGTTAAAGCACATGAAGCCATATTTTGATCACTAGAGGTGAGGTGTGTTTTTTTTTTAAATAAGTCTGCCTTTAAAATAAATCCTTAAATGTGATATTTCTCAGAAAATATTTCTTTGTGTAGCAGTTGTGAAACTTACTAGTTGTTTCAGAGCTGATCTAAGGAGTTAAGGCCTCTAGGTTCTGTTTTCCAAAGACTGCTCTTGGCGCTGAGGGTGTGGGACGGCCAGTGGGCAGAGCTGTGCACGGTCCACACAGGCTGGAGTCTCTGGGTATGCTCCTGGCAGGCCTGCTTCCTCTGTGTGTGTTCTGGGGCTTGCACCTGCTTGCTGTAGTCTCAGCCGTACCACTCATGTTGGGGTGTTGCATGTTGTAGCTGGGGCTTAAAACATGCACTCTGTGTGTGTGTGTGTGTGTGTGTGTGTGTGTATATATATATATATGTATATGTATATATATACATACAAATGTTATCTTCCCCTTTTTATGAGGGAATTTGCATTTAGTTTTTAAATTACTTTATAAGAGAAATGTAAGGGTTGCAAGGGGACATAGTGTGAGAGGACATCTTGCCCTTTTGATGTATTTTATCTCCTTTGGGAAAGTGGAGCACATTTTCCTCTGGGCACATTATCTGCTTTCCATCTTTGGTGGTTCCTCTTCATGAGCCATCATGGAGAAACAAGCACTCTCTTGTAACTTTTAAAAGGATTCACATTGATTTTTAGTTTTATGAAGTCATAAATATATTCTTATAAAAATGAAAGCATATTTAAAGCTCTGTGGTGGTTGCTATAAAATTCTTAAGAAACTCATATCCTTTGACTCAACATTTTTACTTATGGATTTTCTTGGATAAATGTGTGTGTGTGTGTGTGTGTGTGTGTGTATGTATGCACTTACATGTTTTCACTGTGGAAGGAGTGAGCACACACTCCATCTTTTTTCCATTTTATTTGAAAAGCAGAGACAAACAGAGAGATCTCTTCCGTCCACCGGTTCACTCCTCAGATGCCCATGATAGTCAGGGCTGGGTAGAGCCAAAGCCAGCAGCCTGGACATTTGTCCAGGTGTGAATGATAGAGACCCAGCAGCCCAATTTGAGCCATCACCTCTTGCTTCCCAGAGTGAGAGTTAGCAGGAAGCTAGACTGGAAGCACAGCAGCCTGGACAGGAGCCAGTCTGAGCTGCAGGCGTCCCAAGCAGTGCCTTACGTATTGTTCCCACATTTCTAAGGGAACAGGAAAAGGAAAGCTACACCGGAACATAAGTTGGGATTCCCTCTAGATGTGCCTCACATTGGTAGGTGCTGAAGAGTGAATTTGCGTTTCACATGCCATCATTATGCAGTGTTTGGATTGGCTGTCTTTCAGTGTGCAAGTGAGCTTTTCCAGGTTTCTATAACAATTTAAAAGTAGCAACAATTATTGGACCAAGTTAGTGGGGAAAGAAAAAAGATAGGAACTCTCTGCAAGGGAAAGGGGGTTATAAAGGGTGCACATGGCCTGGAAGAGCTCTTGGAGTTGGGCTAACTGTGTATGAAAGGCATTCGTGGGAGCAGGAAGGGTTTCTTGGATCTCTGATTTTTAGTGGTCTGGAATGGGGGCGTTAGCGTTGGACTTGATTTCTTGATTCACAGTTTTTTCTTTTTGATGAACTGGAAGTAGTGCGTGTATTGCATCCTTGGCAGTAATATTTCCGGGGGTGCTTTGTAATTCTTTATCTTGGCAGTATGCTTTTTTTGAATACATGGTTTAATTAATTAGTTAATTAACTGGAGAGAGACAGACACAGAGAGAGCTCCCATTTGCCCATTCACTCCCCAAATGCCTGCAGTGGCTGATCCAGGGCTGAAGCCAGGAGCTGGAAACCCAATCCAGGGCTCCCACTGGGATGGCAGAATCCCAGTTTAACTGTTGTCTGTGAGGATCCATGTTTGCAGGAAGCTGGACTCTGGAGCAGAGGTGGGCATTGAACTCAGACCCGCTGATGTGGAATGTGGGTGTCCCACTGTTGTCCCAACTGTGAGGCCAAACACAAGCCCCTTCCCCCAAACAAGATTGATTGTAGATTTTGAAACAGAATGCTGACTTATAAATGGCCTTATTAAAAGTAACAAGCCCATCAGCAGTTTTTTTTTTCTCAGTTACAACCTGGAGAATGAATGATTCAACACAAGGCACCTCTGATTGCAGTCACCATGGCTGAGCTCCCTGATAATGCCTTTTAATCAGAAAATTTTCTGGGGGTGAATAATGGACACCCACATACCCCGATCTGAAGAGTCCTCCAAAAGTCCATGGGAAATGCATGTTATGAAAAACGATGAGTGGGTTTGAAAAATTCTTTGGCACCAAAATATACTCATCTTTTACATCCAGTTTCCATGAGCTTTGAAGTACCCTGGTGTGTTGACTTGGAAACTGTTCTAACTGCCCTCAGCATCATCCCTTTTGTGGCAGAATTCCCGCATTTGAGGGTACCCGGACCCCTCCTCCTTCGTGGGGCAGTACCGAAACAGTTTCTGCCCCTTTAGAAAATAATCTTTGACAAAGCTGATTCCCCAACAGCTCTCAGGCCCCTGCAATAGTATTGAAGTCCAGTCAGGAAATATCAGGATATCGGTTGCATAGAAAGTTTGTGTTTTCCGTGACAATGAAGAATGGGCGTATGTTGGGTACTGGTGACACCCACCCTCCACGCTGCTTTCCCAGGGCCTCGCAGTGGGTGTTCTTTCAAAGGGCACGCAGTTTGCCACGGTCCTGCTTTCCCCCTTCGCGCTATTGCATGCAGATGTCCTTGGCCGTGCTCACGGCAGGGACGCGTGAAGTCACCTCCAGGAGCCCCTGGTTTTAGGACACTGCTTGTTGTTCGGAGCAGAAGTACGGTTGCTTAATGGCTGGGAAGAGCGAACTGTTTTCTGGCTCTTGAGATTGCACATCAGAGGGTGAGCAGGTAGCAGCTGTGTGTGTAGTATTTCAAAGGAGCCTTCTCATGTGCCGGTGTGCTGAGACTCTGACTCAGAAATTTGCATGGGCATCCATCGCTAGGTGAAATACTGCTGTCAAAGGAAGAAATGCATCTTTCTTTAACTTCCTGGGTGAGTAGTGTTTTCTGCTCTGAGCGAGTGTGTTGTCCACCTCAGTACCATGTGGTAGCTTTCTTACAATAGACTGCTTGGTTTAGGCCACATCCATTTCTTCTACTTAGTTAAATATTGTCTCCCGGGCAGCTGCCTGACGCTCTTGTTTGAGTGGTTCTACCAGGTGATATTTGCCAAGTATTCTTGGTTACTGGAAACTTACTGGGCACTGATGATGGTTATGTGTGTGATAGTAGTGTCTACTGCCTGTCATGTCAGATTTTGAACTTTATACATTTCTTTACCTTTCTTTACTTTTAAAATTTTCCAAGTACTTACTCGCTACCTAATGCATCATGTCTGCCTCTTTCTCTGAACTTTGCATCCTGCCGTACTTTATTCCTACCCCTGAGAGATTCTAAGAATTCCTCATGGTCTGTCTTGGTGCAGCAGGATTGGCTTAGTGGGGGCACACACTTTCAAAAATTGTTTTCGCATTTATTTAAGAAGCAGGTGTACAGACACACACAGACACACGGAAACTGACAGAGGCTGAGTCACTCGTCGTGTGTTTGCAGTAGCCAGGGCTGGGTCAGGCTGAAGCAGGAGCCAGGAACCCAGTCCAGGTCTCCCATGTGGGTAGCAGGAACTCAAGCCATCACCTGCTGCCTCCCAGGGTCTGCATTATCAGGAAGCTGGAATCAGGAGTGGAGCTAAGGCTCAGACCAAGGTGTTCTGGTGAGGGATGTGGGCATCTTAACTCATGTCTGTTAGACTAGATGCCTGCCTTGGTGACCACTGGAGCCTGTGCCCCCTTGTCTTTATTGTGAGTTTCTGGACTAGTAACTTGCATGACAGTTTTTATCCTTATAGCAAAAGGGATGAGTTTCAGGCTAATTTCTGTATGGATTACGACCAAATTCAGAATCGGTAGGGTCTGAATTCATGGATTTTTAGGAAGTTTATAGTATACTGAAAGAGAATGCAGTGAGGTGGTTGGCAGAACCCCAGGGGCTGTCGTGCCACGTCAGATCTGCAAGAGACCTAGCCCAGTGTCTCTGTGAGAACAGCCTACTTGAGTGTCAGTGGCTCTGGGAGTGGCACCAGGTGCACCTGCCTGTGCTCTCTGTTTACCCCATGGCCCTGGATATCAGCCTCACTTACTGTCCTCTCCTTGTCTCTCAAGGATGCAGTATTGCAAAAGCAGTTGCTGCCCGTAGCTGCTGTCAGGTTGTGTAGGTTGGAGGCCTGGGGTATGTCCTCTTGTGCTTTGTGCTTTCCCTGAGCTACCCAGCCAGTGAGAAAGAAAGGGTTCATTTGTCATTTGATGATAAACATTTGATGGGGCTTCATGTGGCCCTTTAAAATTTTATTTTATGCATATCAGATTAGCTGGTAGTCACCTATCCTGATCCTATCAATGAAGACAGTAATTTCACAATCAAATGAAAATTTGTTTTTGTATCAGTAAAATACGATAAAGCTGATTCCTACAAATCCAGAAACGTCGGGGAACTAGGGTCTCCCGGCTAAATGAAAACTGGGAAGAATTTGAGGTTCAGAGGAAGTCAGTGGATCCCTTTGGCATTTGCTCTATCTCCAGAATTATTAGGAACGCTTATTTCCGGTCGTGTGTGCGGTGAGCCCTAGTGAGCTCAGGAGGGCACCTGGGGATGCACAGTCTTCCAAAGGAGGAAAAGTGGGACCTGCAAGAGGTTCGAGTTGTGTTTTTGCTTCTAGATTTCTTTGGATTTAAGTGAGTATCCAAACTAGGAAACGTTTCAATTAGGAAATGGTTGTTTCATAAAAAGATTCCTTAAGAATTAGATTGTCCCAAATACAGTAACATAAGGTGTTAGCAGTATGTTTACAGTAGGGGAAGCTGGGTGTAGGGTACATGGGAACTCTTTGGAGTATTTCACTTTTTTTTTTTTTTTTTTGTACATTTAAAATCGTCCTGGACAAGGCTTTTAAGAAGAGTTGTGTGAGTAAGCTTTTTCAGTAAATTTTTCATCTTTATAGCACTTGGTACTGTGTTTAGTACCTGAGGGACTCACTTCAAACTGTGCAGTCTTCAAGGGGCTTCCCCGAAGTCGTATTATGAAGAAGCTATGCATGGGTGTCAGTGTTTTTGCACCAAAATTGATGTTTCAATTCTATTTTTGCACAAACTTTTTGATGCACCTGGGTGGTTCCAATGGAAGATCAGGTAGAAAAAAAAATGATTCTCATGCTGTTGCCCTAGGTATTTTCTTTTATCTGCCACTTTCCAGGAACCTAGTCATTATTGGTGGCACTTCCCGTCAGCGGGGTTTGCCCAGCCTCTGTAATGTGATCATTGTAAGGAGCGGTATTAGTATTCATTGTGAATTGTCTTTCACTGTCATGTGATGTTACAAAGCCAACTGTCAAATCATGGTATATCAATCATCATGTACAATGACACTTGATGTTTTATTTATTTCTAATCTTAAAAATTAACATTGACATATTTAAGATTACCTTTTAAACCACAAAATGGTTTCCCTTAAACAATTCATTGGGGAAGACTCCTGCATACCCTAAAAATAATTTTCTAGGTCTCAATGGGATTGGTTGAAGAAATTGATCAACGGAATCAATTTTCTCATATGCCTTGTAAACACAATAAAAAAGAATTGCAGATGTGAAGAGCTAGGTACTTGTTTTGAATTAAATGATGGGAAAATATGACTTCAAAGTCAGAAATAGTTTGTGGATTCTTTTTGTCTTCATTGCCAGCAGAAGAGTAGTGGGCTGACATGGTAGGTAGGTTTGGGGTGGGCACGCCTCACATGCTGATGTGGATGTCCACTCATCGGAAGGATCTAGTTCTTGGACTCTCATCAAATTTATATGATAACTTTTAAGTTTGCTTGTTTTTTTAATCGATTTACTTATTTTTAAAAGATTATGTATTTGAAAGGCAGAGAAACAGAAAGAGACCTCACATCTGCTGATCACTCCCCAAACGCCTGCATTAGCTGGGGCTAGGTGAGGCCAGGCCGAAGGAAGGAAGGAGCCAGGAACTGTGCTCTGGTCTCCCGCATGGGCGGCGAGAACCCAAGTATGGGGAGTGGCAGGAAACCAGGCCCTGGAGCCACCGTCTGCTGCCTCCCAGGGTACTTGTGAGCGAGACGCTGGGTCAGAAGCAGAGGCGGGACTTGCTCCAAGCACTCTGATCAGCGATGCAGGAGTCTCAAGGGGCAACTTAACCTGCTGCGCCCCAAGGCCTGGCCCTGTGATTAGTTTTATTTGCTTGATATCCGTGTTTGGTTTGCTTATCCTCGCACGGAGGCGCAAGCTTGCCGTGGTTGAATGGAGAAGTACTGCTGTGGCTGGTTTTCTATTTTCTACTCCATCCGGACCTTTTCCTGGTCTTGGGGGCATTCACCGAGCCTGCCCTGGGGTTCTTGAGCCTCAGAGCTGGTGGTCCTTTCAAGCCTGCTGCGAACCAATCGCTGCCCTTGCATGGGAATCAGTGAGTCGTCCCCAGACCGTGTTCATTCATGCTCGCCAAAGTCGCAGCCGGCCCCAGGTTCTGTGCCTTTACCTCTCTCTAATCCGAGTCTGTTTCCTTGTAGGAGCGCACAGACTGGTGCCTAAAATGGAAGTAGATATCAATGGCGAGCCCAGAAGTACCCTGAGCACCCTGCCCTTGCCCGTGGCCGAGGCGAGCTCCCCGGGGAAGGCGGAGGCCGAGAAGCCGCGCTGCTCCAGCACGCCCTGCTCCCCGATGCGCCGGACCGTGTCGGGCTACCAGATCCTGCACATGGACTCCAACTATCTGGTGGGCTTCACCACGGGGGAGGAACTCCTGAAGCTGGCCCAGAAGTGCTCGGGGGGCGAGGAGGGCAAGGGGGAAGGCGTGCCTTCCCTGCGCTCCAAACAGCTGGACGCGGGCCTCGCGCGCTCCTCGCGGGTGTACAAAGGCCGGAGTCGGTACTACCAGCCCTACGAGATCCCGGCCGTGAACGGCCGGCGGCGCAGGCGGATGCCCAGCTCAGGAGACAAGTGCACTAAATCCTTACCTTACGAACCTTACAAGGCCCTCCACGGGCCTCTGCCTCTCTGTCTTCTTAAAGGTAAGAGGGCTCACTCCAAATCCCTGGACTACCTCAACCTAGATAAAATGAGCATCAAGGAGCCAGCTGACACAGAAGTGCTTCAGTACCAGCTTCAGCACCTGACCCTGCGAGGGGACCGCGTGTTCGCCCGGAATAACACATGAACGGCTGGTGCGGACTTCAGCCCGCTGAGGTCGACCTACGCTTGGCTAGAACGGAAAACACACACACACAAAACAAAAAAACAAAAACCGTAAACACCCACTCTTGTACTCTGCTCCTACTTCCCCTTCTAGATGGTTCTATCAGCTTAAGTGTGCCTGGAACCTAAAAATCGTCGGGATCACACTTTGAACGCAGGAGTGGACTCACAGGTCCTTGGGAGGGGGGATCATTTTAGAGCGCGCAGCTGCAAAGAACACAGAATGTTGACCGTCTGTATAGCTTTTGAGCCAGGAACGAAGGCTTTGGTGCATTGCGTCTTTAGGATTCTGACACTCAGATGGGGAATGTTACCTGCTTGGTTGTAGCTGACTTGGTATGATTCATTGCAAATCTCTCTCTTAAGTACTCAAGTACTTCCGGAATCTCTGTATTTTACTATAACATGTATGTGATGATTTGTTTTACGAAATTTAGAACTTGAACATTGCTGAATTGGACCACTTTTTATTTTTAAATATTGAGTTTAAATATTTTATAACTGGTTTTGCACTGAAAAAAAAAAAAACTAACACTTCAGATTAAGAGCAAAGTCTTACTTCTCTTGCCTCAATAATATTATTGAGCAATGAGTTTTTTATTTCCGCATGGAAAGTTATTGATCTCTATGGCTGTAAAATATTTCTTTATAGCGTTATTAAAGTGTGTCTTAATAACATTAAATTTGGGATACAAAGTATTTATTTTGCAACCGGAGGAGTGGAAGCTTTTCTAGAAAGTTTCCAATACGAAGTTGTCATCAGTTGGAAAAGTTTCCTTAGTGCTAATTTTCTAATTTAAAATTCATCTGGAACTTTAAAACAGAAAGGATTCTTTTAATTGTGGATGATAGGCAAAATCCTGTTTGCATCTGTATTCCTGTTAGTGAATGGAACTTGAGTAGAGGACCTCATGATTTCGACTCGTGAATGCTTGTACTAAATATGAAGTAATGCCATTCCGCCCGGCGTGGGCTCAGGCCAGTCCTAGTCCTGTGCCACACAGCACTCATTGAAACCCCAGTTTCTAGGATTAGTGTAGGAGCCTAAAGCGCTTCTATAGTTTTAATGGGTTAATCCTGGATTACTTAACAATTTATGTCAATTGCACTGGTTTAATTTGTTGCTAAAGAAATAAAGCCCTGGCTTTGGTAACAAATACAGCTCAACTATTCTTGAATATATTTTGGGGGGAAAACTGTACGTAACTTACCTTTTGTAAACGTTTCTATTTTTTTTTTCCTTTTGACTCTTGAAGGTGCAATTTATTACCGAATTGGCATTTCTGGCAGCATCAAATTTGCATACTTTTAAGTTTTATTTTGGGGACTGTGAGTTTCTTAGGTGTTAGCGATCTTGCTTATAAAATAAGAACACCTTTTAATTAATGAATGGATCATTCCTGGTACAATTGTGATTTTCCTTGGGCCAGAATGAATGACAGACTCCATGTAGGGCAGCATACCGATTAAAAAAACCCTAGGGACTCGTAAACAATGTTTTTTACACCTTCCCCTCGGGCACACCATGTGAGAGAGCCTTGGGGAGGTGGGCCTGCTTCTTACTGAGTTGATTACCTTTCTTGGTGGGCTGCAAGTTTTCAGCTATTGTATATTTTAAGTAAATTGCACCTTTGTAACATATTGTATTGGTGAATGATCTCTAAGATTGACTTTATCTATACAGTCAAGACATAGAATCCTGTCAGATGCCAAAGAGTTGGGATTTTTACGTTTAATGATTAAACACCATTATTTATTGATGATTTACCCTGTGGAACTGTATTATTTCTAACTATGAAATAAAAGGGTGATGTAAACACACATTGTTGTGTGGTGCTTTAAATAAGGTCTTAAAATAAGGCTGGTTACTGTTCAAGAATGGCACCCAAGCACTTCTTGAAGTCCCTAATATTGTGAAACAAAAGCGAAAAAGCATTTTACTTTTGATGCTTACCGGGCATTTCAAGGTCAGAGGTTGCTCGTAGCAGTGCTGTGTGTTCAGCCTCCTAGGAGATGTGGCTTTTCACCTGTGAGACCTGTTCCTGCTACGTGCCTACAGTGTTTGTGTTCAATAGGAACATGCAGCTCTTTGGTTTAGTTTTGAATTTTTACTTAAAGATAGGCAACATGGGTTGAAAGTCTGAGAGAGGGCGTATTTGCTGTTTTCTGATCAGTAAAGATACACAGTTCTAAGTTTCGTTTTCTGAAAATGAAGTTTCAAAACCAAGTCCGTGGTTTTCAGCACGTGCTTGAAGAGCCCCTTCACGAATTCGGTCTGTCTTTATGTGCACTCTGTGGAATTGCACTGCTATGATAAATAGGGGCATCTTCAAAAGAAAAAAAAATAGGCTAGATCTCTTTTAGCTAGGGGAGAAAAAAACCTTTTAACATGATTTCTATTTTTAAACTTTTTTTCTTTTTATATCATTTGATATTACCTATTTAACAGGGCATGCTTTTGACCAGAATATTCCATGATGAGGTTCTCTTAGGCAGTGCTTGTCAACCTTAAACACTGGTGCGCCGTTTGACTTTAATTGGTGTTTCATTTGCTAGAAAGTGCCGTATGTTGAAGGTTTAGGTGATGCATATGATAGCCATGGGATGTCAGCTTTTGCTCCTCTGAAAGTGGGGCTCCTGCAGTCAGTCTGCTCAGCGCCCCGGACCCTCTGCATTCCAGGCCTGTTGAGTCCTGCCCATTGCCCCTCAGACCTGCAGTGTCCATCTGTGGGTCTCTGTGTCTTTTTCCTTCCCTGAGATGTTAATTTGAATGACTTCAATATTAGGGGCTTGGAGAGCATTTAAAAGATCCTTAGTTAACCTTGGAAGACAAATTGGCTTTTCACAAAAGGAAGAATCTTTTTTTGAAATCTTGAGGAAAACACCTCTGTTTACCGATTTTCTTACTCTCACATACTTTGGAAAGGCTTTTATTCTATTACAAACCTTGAAGCTTTTTAAAAGGAACTTTTGAAATGACCCTGGCCTAAGTGGTTTGTTCTCAATGGGAAAGCAGGAGGAGAGACTGTCAGTTTATTAATAGCATAAATGTTGTAGAAGAATGGCGGAGGAGAGAGAGCAAAGTCGTCCATTACCGAGATGTAGGGAATGCAGCAACTGCTAAGTACAATTGCCTTTTTAAACAATAGAATTTGATTAGGGAAACGGAAATTGATGAAGATTGCCTTGGAAATATAATAAATGCAATTATAAGGCTACAAGTCGTGGCTGCCAGTGTTTCATGGTACTTCAGAACCTTCAGTGAGGATTATGGAATGGACTTCTTTGCTATCTTACGTTAGACAAAAATTCAGGATTTTTGTGTCTGAGAAGACTAGAGACAAACCAAAAGAGGAACAGGCCTGATGTGTTATTTTGAGTTATCTGAGCGCCAAGGACACTTCCTCACTCCTGGCAGGGGAGATGTTGAGTTTGTATTCTTGCCGTGGCGCAGCAGTCTTGTGCAAGGTTTTATTAAATGGTTTCAGAGACAAAGTCTGAACGTAAATCAGAACGTCAGCAGCCTGGATCTTGAGGTTGTGTTCCACGTGCGGATTTATGGCCGAGTCCTGGATGAGCAAAGGCACCTTGGCATGTGTGGGAGTGGAGGATTGCCACTGCACTCAGTGGAGTTCGTGAGTGATCCTAGGCTGGGGTCATTTCTCGAAAGAAGAGCTTGATGCATTCGCTTTTGCGAAAAGCTAGCAGCACTTGGAAAGTTCCTTCTGAGTGCCCTTGAGGAAGGGTTCTTGCTGTGTGCCAGAGGAAAGAGGAAACACTGGGTCCAGGATGGTGAACTTCAGCTCTAGTCTCCAGGAAGACTATGTGAAAGGATTGATTACATATGGAATTATGTATTTGGAAGACCTTGTATCCTCTACCCTTGACCTAATGCTTTAGCTGAGGAAAGGAACTTCTGCAGTTAGAAATTCTTGAACTCAATGAAATTCAGATTTTAGCCAAGTGGTTAGAGCTGAGAAGGCAAGCACTGAGCTTGTGACCACCGTGGTCCTTAACTCTGCTCAGGGCAGACATCACTAATCCATCAGCATGCAACTATAGCCTCATTTTCTTTCTTAGCTTAGTCTTTAGACAGCTGCTAAGGAATTGATGGGTATTATGCAAGAGATTAAATGTGTTTGCCCACTACATCACACACCTCCTGTAAAGGGTTGCAGTGTGAATTAACCCATGATCTGAACATTTCTGAGTAGATCACTGTGGTCCCTGTTTAGTAACGAGAACAGCAGGAGGTGAGCCACACTGCTGTCAGTGCATGTACTGAGCAGGTGCAGCATTATGGGCACAAGGATTGAGACAGTTTTCACCTTCAAGAACAGGCCTGTTGTTGGGAGAGGTGGGGAAGGTAGCATCAGACACAGAGCAGGTGAGCGTTTCGCAGAATAAATACCAATATAAGGGAGAGGCGCTTAAGCCCTGTGGGACTGAAATCTGAGAAGGAGAAGTCTTAGTCATTTTTCTGAGTTCTCAGCCAAGTCACTTGTGTTGCTGATTTGCATAAAAGTTGAAATGTAAAGGTATTTTTCTGCAAAGTGCCTTTGTGGTGGAAGCCTGGGGAGAAGAATGGGGAGAGCAAAGTCTTTTAATAAGTGAGTGGATATTTCAATGAATGGTTTTTTCTCCTTGTACTCTGTACCCTTTATCCAGGCTAAGTTGTGGTGCAGGTGGCACAAAGAGGTTTAGTTGGTTCTTTAGGGTCAGAAGTACATTGATTTTTTAAATCTTTATTCATTTATTTATTTGAAAGAGAGGGAGAGATCGCCCATCTGCTGGTGCATTCCTCCAATGCCCACAATAGCTAAGCCAGGCCACAAGCCAGGAGACAAGACCTCAGTCAGTCTCCCACATGTGTGGCAAGGACCCTCTCAAGGTGCATGTCAGCATGAAGCTGCAATCAGGAGCCTGGGATTGGGATGTGGGCATCCTGAGGTGCTGCTTAACCGTGATGCCAAGTGCCCACCCCAGAGGTATGTTTAAAAACGTGTGCTCTTGATGTAGTTGTATAAGGAATGAGATTATATTGTTTTGCTCAAGAAGCTTTGTAAGGCAGGATATCTTCAAACAGCTCATAGAAAATGATGAAAAAACTGCATGATTTCAAGATTTTTTTGCACCATAATAAACATCTTTTCATTCTGTTTTTTTCATGAACGTTTTGAAGCAACCGAATGAAGATTATTTTAAAGTGCTTTTTTAAACAGTACAGTACATATTTTTCATTTTTTTTAAGATTTATTTATTTCTAAGGCAGAGTTATAGAAAGAAGAGGCAGAAGCAGAGAGATAAGTCTTCCACCTGCTGGTTCACTCCCCAAATGGCTGCTCTGGCCAGGGCTGGGCCAGGCCAAAGCCAGCAACAAGGAGCCTCAACCTGGTCTCCCACGTGAGTACAGGACCCAAGTATTTGGGCCATATTCTTCTGCTTTCCCAGCAACATTAGCAAGGAGCTGGATTTGAAGTGGAGCAGCCAGGGCTTGAACCAGTGCCTTATGGGATGCTGGCATTGCAGGCAGCAGCCTAACCCACTGCGCCACAGTGCCAGCCCCTGAATTATCTTTAGAAATGATCAAATCAAATCCTGGATTTGTTGGTAGATTTCTGCATTTTTCTTTTTATTATTTATAAAATTTGGGTAATATTTTCTTAATGTTTTACATATATTTTCAGTTTCATACTTACCTAGTTAGATTTAAATGCAGTTAAAGGAAAAAAATTTAAAGAGATTGGGTTTCTGTAGGATTTAAACAGGGTTTAGTGGTAGGCCACATAAAATAATCCACTCATAGTTCAGCAAGATACTCATTAGATACAATTTCCCCCATTTTTTTGTGTGGGGGGGAGAAGGGTGTATTGTATTACATTTGGTAAAGTGTTGCTTAACTACCTATGTCTTTTCTTCCCTAGAAATCCATTTCTTTGTTTTCTGGGATACTTTTGGAGTGAAATGATGGGGATTGTGGTTTGTTTGTGTTGTTGTTTTATTTTTTATTTTGCTTGGGATTTACCTGAACTTTTTCCTTGATTTTTTTGAGGAACCTTTTGACCAGGAGAGAGACATCAGAAAATAAACAGTTGGAAGCATGACTATCCCAACCAGGCCAAGTCACTACATAGAAAACATAGGCAATGCCTCAAGGGATGATGGTTTCTGATTTGGGGGCAAAAAATAGTTGTCAGAGCTATGTCATTTGTGCTAAGCTAGGTGCGCAGTCTGACCAGTAATGCCAAAAAGTTCCTTTGATATTGGAACTGGAAGTAGTGACATTAGGGAGGCTACAAATGGACTGCTCAGAGAGCTGAGATCAATTTTATATAAAAATATATCAAAACAGCTTCTTGTTTGAAACATTCACTAAGACCAAACTGTTTCTATTTATCTGTAGGAATTGATACTTCTTAAAAATTCATGGATTCAATGTTTCTTTTTCATCTACCAAGTATTTATTTTGTTAGATTATGTATGAACCTCAGGGAGTAAGTCTAAGCGGTAGTCAGAAACAAATAGTCGCCTTTTATTTTGCTTGAGAGGCCAGGAATTGACAAAAGAGAGCTCAAATCTGCTGGTTCATCCCCTCAAATGCCGCTAACAGCTAGGTCTGGGCCAGCATGGAGCCTGGAACTGCCACTCATGTGGCAGGTGACACAAGTACTTGACCCCTTGCTGCTGCCTCCCAGGGTGTGCCTTAGTAGGAAACTGGAATCAGAAATGGAGTTGAGACTTGACCGCCAGCCAGCACACTGATAGCGGGTGTGGGTGTCCTGGACAGCGTCCTAATAGCTGTACCAAACACCTGCCTTAGC